CTAAGCCACTCCACCCACTGTGCCTTACCTGCAACAACTTCTCAAAGCTAGGAAATCAAAATTGTGACTGAGAATCAGCCTCTGACTGGTGATATGTTACTTTCACCTCTCCTGATCTCTGGCCTTGGCTATCTCCTGGGCCAGGTGTGAAGATTATTATACTATTTGCACTATAGTCATATGTGAGAGGACTTTGCCACTATATATAGGCTCCTGGCTTTTCTAGAAGAAGGTCCCAGAGGCCTGCTGCTTGCAGCAATGTCAAGGAGGGGCCCATATTTGATGAGCCCCAATGGGATGACACCAGGGCCCTCGGCGGGCGGTGCCTGGCACCATGATGCCGCATGGGGGGCAGGGCCAGTGGCTGCTTAAGGTCAGCCCGAACCCCCCATGCGCCTTCTTGCATTGGCAGAAGTGCACCCACCCTCCTGCCCTCGATGCAGTGTAATAGCTGGTCGCTATGGGGCCAAGTAGGAATTTTCTCTCTTTTTTCCCAAGGGTTTTTTCGCCTACTCCACACTTTAGTCTGAGGGACATTCGGGACAATTAGCTGAAGGTGGTGGTGATAAATAGGCCAACCCTGGGCAGGTAGTGGGGAGGAGGGAAGAGTTTCAATGTACACCATTGCACCCCCTTGTGGTGTAGAGCTCTGGAACCACCTCACTAGGGTTCCCACGGCCCAGAGATGGAGAAGGACTCGATCCTTAAGGTGGACCTGCGGTTTTGCCACCATTTCTAAAGTTATTTGGCTTGAGTGGGAGAGCCTGAGTCTGCTTGTCGCCCAAGGGAACGTTGGGGAGCTAGTCAGAGAATGACACCTGGCCCCAGCTGATCCTACATCAGGTCGCTCCCCCTATTGGTCTTCCAGGATTTGGTAAATGTATTCAAGTGTGTTTAATTAGGTCAATAAAGTGGCCCTTGTTTAACCCAACTTTCTTGGCTGGTCTTGTCTGGGGAAGCAGCCAAGAATGCTGATAGCCAAAGTCCAAACAAAATAGAATGGAAACTGCTTACGGAGCTTTGTGCAGTTTAAAGCAAAGAAGATATAAAGCAAAGTCCAAGGTGCAAGCCATAGAGTAGTCGAGCAGTCCAAGGTCAAAGGTTTCAGTGAGGCAAGATAATCAGGCAGTCCAAGGTCAGGGGTTCCAGAGAGTCAAGATGGCTAGGCAGTCCGATAGTCAAAGGTCCAGGGTGGGAAGACAAGGAAAGTCAGGATCAAGTGTGCTTTTATCAGCAAACTCAGATAATCTCTGACAACTGATCTGACATCCTTCACCTGTTTATATCTCCAGCTCTCATGAGCTCAGCTGCTTGTTGATTAGATTGTGTTTCTCATAAAGCCTCCTTGAACGGCGGAGGCATGCCCTTTCACCTCTTTGTTGGTTGAAGGTAGATATGTTCTCTTCCATGCCTGAAGACTCTGCTACCAGGAGGCTTGGTTGCTGAGCCTCCTTTGGGGCCACAGATTGCTTGAGCTGGCAGGGCAGAACTAGGGCCAGGCTCAGGTTCAGGCTCAGGTTCAAACTGAGGCTCTTGCTCAGCCTCCTCCTCCTCATCCTCAGGCTGGCTGGGCATGACAGGTCTTATTATTCCATGGTGGTTCATCAATGCCTCTCTTTTTCCAAAACTCCTCCTCACAGATCTATGGCCTTGAATTTTTAAAAGAATAGATTTACATATATATTTTAACCTCTTGAAAATAGAAATCAATGAAGCACTTAATTCAGTTCTCAAACAATTTACATTTTAAATCTGCCTTGAGTAGAACTTTGAAAGTATTTTAGATTTTT